CTAGTGTACACTAGTGCAAGCGACCGAATTCGCTATGAATACACAATCAGTCCTGCACTAGTTTAGTGCAATAGTTATCGAACACGACACAAGGTGTGTTCTATACTAGTGTCATCTAACCGAATACGACGAGTGCAATGCACTGAACAAGAGGGCATCAGTCGAATACGTTGCACCGGGAAAATTCGCTTTCAGTGTACACTAGTACACTAGTGTACTCTAGTGTACACTAGTGTACACTAGTGCAAGCGACCGAATTCGCTATGAATACACAATCAGTCCTGCACTAGTTTAGTGCAATAGTTATCGAACACGACACAAGGTGTGTTCTATACTAGTGTCATCTAACCGAATACGACGAGTGCAATGCACTGAACAAGAGGGCATCAGTCGAATACGTTGCACCGGGAAAATTCGCTTTCAGTGTACACTAGTACACTAGTGTACTCTAGTGTACACTAGTGTACACTAGTGCAAGCGACCGAATTCGCTATGAATACACAATCAGTCCTGCACTAGTTTAGTGCAATAGTTATCGAACACGACACAAGGTGTGTTCTATACTAGTGTCATCTAACCGAATACGACGAGTGCAATGCACTGAACAAGAGGGCATCAGTCGAATACGTTGCACCGGGAAAATTCGCTTTCAGTGTACACTAGTGTACACTAGTGCAAGCGACCGAATTCGCTATAAGTGCACCGCTCCCGATTTGGATAGGAAAAATGTGAATTTTCGGGGATACTGGTTGTTGGATTCGTTAAAGAGGATAAATGTGGGGTAGGGTTGCAATCAGTAATAATTAAGGAGATAGGGTTAGGAAGATTTCTTTGGTTGGAATTGTGAATGGAGAAAAATCGTACGTTTAAAAGAGATAGTTATTGGAGGAACTTCAAGGTAGTGAAGCAAACTTTGGGTAGAGCTGTAAAGGATGATGCAAGTCGGAAAAATGAGTTAGCACAACAGACATTTTTTGTTTAACGTCTGGCGGCTTCTTTTGATTTTGTAGATAAAGTCCGGCGGAATATGCTTTAAGAATTAGAAGGGTTTCGGTTGCGTATTTCCCAGAGTTATATCTATAGGACTATTGTTGGAATTTATTTATTGTAGAAGACAGAAAATCGTTTATGATTTGGAGCTGTTTGTCGGGTACATTCCGGAGGAAGAAAAAATAAGGTATGTGATTCACGTCCGTGCAGGACGTAACACCGCCCTCTTTAGACAAATGTTGGGGTTGACATTTGCAAGTGAAGGTTCAACGTTTAGTTCGATAATTAAGCGTGGGTGGGCTCAAGTAAGTGTAATGTGTATTGTTAGTATGCGTAGGTTATGAAAGACGATTATAAAATTTGGCGCAGATCGAATTTGTTTCGCTCGGCATTTTTTGTGCGTTTTTATGGAGTAAGTTACCTCGACCTTTAGATCGGAGGTAATCTTGCTTGTCTGGGTCTTGACGCGTTGACTTTTAAGTGCGCTATAAATTACTGGGTAATACTTCAAGGAGATAGGTAATTGAAGTATCTACTAATTCTATAAAAAAGTTACAAATTATCCGATTGATTTTTAGAAGGATGAAAAAATAGGCGATCTCTTCCTAAATTCTTTCGTCCTCCTCGTACAAAAATACCTATAAAAAAATAAGAAAAAAAGAAAGTTTATTTAGAAGCAGGAAGAAGAAGGCAATCTCCAAATTCTCTCCCTTCGTCCTTCTATAAAGATACATGTTTTTAGAAGAGAAAAACGTATACAAAAATTGTTTTATAATGATACATGCATATATCTAAAGATTTTTTGTTTTGTTTTTTTTTGCTTCCTTTTTTGGATAATAAGAAATATAGCATCTAATATCTCTGAATTTAATTTCATGCGAAAAAACTATCTTATTATCAATATTTTTGATGTGTTTCATCAAGAGCAGCATATAAGTATTTTTACAGTAAATATCATATTTAAAAAGAAAAAAAAATGTAGATATATACCTATGAGATTAATATAATATAGGTGATTATATATCTTTACAAAAAAATATCGTTATAAATAAATTACAACAAAAGCTCAGCTAAAAGATATTTTTAAAAATATTATTAAAACAACCTTATTGAGATCAATTATATTCTCGCAAATTCTCTATTAAGAAATATAAGACAATTTTATACTCTCTAGAAAAGTAATGATATCAAGAGGTTTACGCCAAGTACGAATGATTAATTATTTCAGTTTTTCTTTAATAAACATATGTGGTTTTGACTATATAATATATTTTTAAATTAAATATATTATTAATATATTAGTAACATATTATTAAATAAAAAGTACAATAATTAGAGAAATACAATAATGTTGAAAAAAATTATAATATTAGGTGTACAACTTTGCTTCCGCCGTTGTTTTTCCGAAATTCGAAGCTTTATTGTAAAAAACTGGTTATACATTTATGATTCAAAGTATTGTCCATCGCTGGCCACTACTTTCTCCCATCTTTCGGGTAACGTACAAATCCCGCGTCGAAAAAACTGGTCATCTTTTGAAGCGATCCACGAATCGATTCAATATTTTACTTCTTTATAAGACCGGAAGTGCTGGTTAGCCAGGCCGTGTGCCATTGATCGAAACAAGTGATAGTCAGAGGAAGCAACGTCTGGAGGATACGACGGGTGGGGTAGGACTTCCCATTTCAACGTTTTTAAGTATGTCTTGATCACTTTCGCAACATGGGGTCGAGCATTGTCATGCTGCAAAATCACTTTATTGTGTCTCTCGTTGTATTGCGGCCGTTTATCTTTCAATGCTCGGCTCAAACGCATCAATTGCGTTCGATACCGATCGCCTGTGATTGTTTCAGTCGGTTTTAACAGCTTATAATACACTACGCCGAGCTGGTCCCACCAAATACAAAGCATGACCTTGGAGCCGTGAATATTCGGTTTGGCCGTCGACATGAAAGCACGGCCGGGAACTCACCATGATTTTCTGCGCTTGAGGTTATCGTAATGAACCCAGTTTTCGTCCCCAGTCATAATGGGATGCAGAAATCCCTTCCGTCTTTGCCTTTCAAGCAGCTGTTCACAAGCAAACAAACGCCGTTTAACATCTCTCGGCTTCAATTCGTACGGCACCCAATTTCCTTGCTTCTGAATCATTCCCATGGCTTTGAGGCGTTTTGAAATGGCTTGTTGAGTCACTGCCAATGATCGTGCCAATTCTTCTTGATTTTGACATGAGTCTTGATCAAGTAATGCCTCCAATTCTACATCTTCGAAAACCTTGTCTCTTCCACCGCTATGCCAATCTTCGACGTCAAAATCGCCGTTTTTGAAGCGTTAAAACCACTCACGACACGACGTTCTTTCACTAATAGCGGCCTCACCATAAGTATTTGAGAGCATTCGATGAGCCTCAACCGCAGATTTCTTCATATTGAAGCAGAAAATTAAAACCTCCCACAAATGACGAGAATTTGGCTTGTAAAATGAC